GAGTGGTAATTTGTTAAAATTAGAGTTTTGTGCAAAAAGTTATGCCTATCCAAATTTAAGCATAAATTCTGAAAAATTAAAAAATGACCAAATGAACAGTATCATTTTGGCTTAAAATTGGACTCGAATGGTGAGGTAATGAGACCAATGACTATTTTTTTCATGCAAAGAATTAATAGAGCTTCAAATAAAACTTGGAATCACTGTATTTTGATTTTTTTTTTTTTTGCAATTAGTTATGATTTTTCAAAGTTGGCAAAAAATTCTAAGGGTTGTTGTGAATAGTAACCCGAGAATAAAGTTTTTGAAAATTTGATTTTCTAATCTTGTGACCAACAAATGTGGTTCCAAATGCTTTTCTTTGATGCACTATCGGGTATAATGATAAGGCGTTTCATTCCTAATCTTTTCTTTTCCTCAAATAATACATGAATTTTCTCAAAAGGTAATTATAATGCTTGTACTTGCACTTCCATATGTCGTAGGTTGTTTTGGAGAGGTTGGAGCAAGTATGCATACGGAATATGTAAAGGGCTTGTACGTTGTGAACTCATTGGCTGACCTTTATAACTTGACATAACTAGTGAGGCTAGCATTCATGTGGGCACATGGACACATCCAAATATCTACATGAAACATGCCTCTAGCAAACAATATAGGTTTGGACCAAGACGGATTGGGTATAATAAAAGTAGTTAGTCTCTCACAACGTTTTGAACCAAAAAGTTTAAATCTTGTTGGGAAAGGTACTCACATTAAATGTCTGTTAGTACTCCAAATATGATTGGTTCTAATAGGAGGATATTTATACGTAACAAAAACAAAAATATAAGTTTTGGCCATCATGCTATTTGTTTAAGTCTATTTTTTTTTTCAAGGGCTAGGCCTTGAAATTGGAAGTTTTTTTTTTTATGCAAAAAGACTTGGGCTCTCATTCCCGCCTCTCCCCCAATAGAAAAAGAAGAATTCTCAAATGGCTACTTTTGAAAAGTCAAATATCAACACCTCAGCCCATAAAGATTAGATTTAGTGGAATGAGCTAGTCTCCCATAATATGGTGAACAAATGTTTGATTCTCATTAGGAGAGACACTCATATTTAGTGCCCAACACTACCTCAAACATGATTATTTCTAATAGGAAGATACCTATGGTTAGCAAAAAGAAAAAAAAATATGGACACTCTAGGTCACTTCAGCTACTAATTTCAGATTTGATAAGGATGGTTTAGCTTTCTATAAAGCAAATAATAATAATAATAATAAATGGTTTAGCCTTGCCAACCAAGTTCATTAAATGGGCCTTAGTACCCATTAGGTGCATTTGATCACTGATTCAACAAGTTTCTGGCTTTTAGAGTAAAAAATTCTATCTTTCTAAGTTAAATTAGTTTATATTGTAACGTTACATGACACCTTTTACTGAGCCATATTATTTATTTCTCTTCCCTGAAGAGCACTTTTCGTTTTCCCATGCACTTTAGCACGTAAACTAAAGAAATCTTTTAATATATAATCCTTGCTGGGTCCCATTTCATTCTCGAAGTTAAAGAATCACTCGCCTTTAATGACTTTCTAATTTTCAAAATAGATTTAACAATCTCATTTTTTTTAAAAATTAAGCACAGGTATCTTATTAATTAAAAGCTTGCTCAAGGCACTTCCACATCAAAAATTTGCTTCGCTTAATTTAATTGAATTCACCATGTCTTTTCGTTGACCAAAATTTTTTAGACAAATCTTTGTAGGAATCATCGTTCTCATCACTTTGCTGCTTGTCCCATGATAACCATATTCGGGTCACAAGTTGGAGCTGCATATGAGATCAAGCTATGGCAACGCCATAAAGTACCAAAATTTTAGACGGATGCTTTTGGTTTCCTATAGATGCCCTTTGTATCAATAATGTAACAGTCTCCTTGTCACGCGGATCATTTTAACATATGGATTATGTACTTGAGATTGTTATGATTTAGGCGAATTGTTAATTGAAACTCATTTAAAATTTTTCACCTTTTAGTCTAAATTTTAAAAGTCATAGTTAATTTTAGAAAAATCATATGATGGTATTATAAAATTCTTTTGAAAGCTCTTGTAATTTTTTACATAGTAAAAATATAATATGGGTCTTGAGTCATGACAATCAATACAATTTCTTACCTTTTTTCTACTTGCTTTGTCTTTCAAACATAAACTGTAGATTAATTTCAAAAATTCATCACTCATGCTTCATTGACCTCACTTGTAGTTATTACACTTAAATTACTTTTCAATCATGAATCTTAGCCATCCATTTTAATCTTTCATCCTGGACCCTTATGATCAACTTTAAACTCCCTCTTCCGGCTTGGATGTGATACAATTGTCTGATTTTGCCATCACTCCTCTTGAACCATGATTACTTTTGGCTAACTATAGTTACTTTTCTTTAGCCTTACTTTTACTAGCTATAATTTTTTTTAATTAACTATGGTTATATCTCTCCAAAAATGGTTAGTTTTACTGACCTTTATTGTGTTTTAACTTTAGTTAACTTAACCTTAATTACCTTATCAAGTTTAATCTCCTTTCATCCACAGTAAATTCTCTAATTAAAATAAATAATTCCTTAATCATAAATACTTTAGGACTTCATTATGATAATTTCTCTTCCTCTTCCTTCTTTGTGAATAGCATCATTTTGAGCCGTATCGGGGCTGCTATCATGCTCTCAATTTAACTAGAATTTAGACATCAACTTGCCAGGCCGCCGAACTATATTACTTTGTACGCCTGATTAAACTTTTGATCAAATAATCTTTCTATTATTTTTCTTGTGCCATTTTGAACTTTAATACCTCAAATAGACCTTAAAACCCATCATTTTCTTATTTTACCTAAATTTTTGAGTAATTACTGTTAAGACCTGAGCTTTCAAAAATTATATTTTTAACCACATCATAACTTGCCATTCATGTAATCCTCCATCTCTTGAAGATCCTTAAATAACTCATAACCCTTTCGAACCCTTCTGGATAACTTTGAAGTTTTGGGTACTATTGTGTAATTTCATAATATTTTTTTCACAACATATAGGCATTCTTAACTTTCAGTATTTACAATGTATTCCATCAATACTTTTTATCTTTTTAATAACTCAGAGCTTCCTTCCTTTACATTTAGGTCCCTATCCCCTTTTACTTTAGCCCTCGTAACTTTTTTGTGGTCTCTAAAAAGTATTTATGTCTTAGTTTCAGAAAAACTTTTAATTTATGATTTAATCCTTAGGATATTTTCATGACATTTCTAAGACTCCTGCTTAATTGGATTTAATGACCTGTTAAGTTTAGGTTTATTCTTGAAATTTTAGACCTAAAGAAGGGATATGACACTCCTCTTACTAACTCCATTCATGAAAGAAACTCTCATTAATATGAATGCCAATACCATTTAGTGACATGACCACAACAAATCCCACATAAGTTCTTTTCACTACAAAAAAGTATGTATTTTCTAGTAGTTAAATTATGACGTTTCTAGTAGTTTTAACCGCTACAAACAACATTTGTAGCGGTTAGAAAAATCGCTAGAAAATCAAATGTGAGAAACAGTTTTCTAGCAGTTAAGGGAACCGCTACACAGTATGGTCAAAACGCTAGAAAATTTCTAGCAGTTACATTAACCGCTAGAAGAAACAAGCAGGCGCAGGAGAATGCGACGATATTTATAGCTGTTTAAATCCGCTAGAAAATTTTTAAAATATTTGTAACTGTTCCAAGAACTGCTAGAAAGTTGTGTATGAAATTTTATTTTGCCAAGAAACGAAATTTTCAAATTGGTGTCAAAACTTTCTAGTGGTTATTAACGACTAGAAATTTGGTGCCAGGTGGAACCAAATTTAAATTTTACAAAAAAATTTCCGCTTTTTAAATTTTTCTAATGGTTTCTGAGCCGCTACAAAATTTATTCCAAGCAGAAAAAATAAAATTCAAAATTTTCATTATTATAAAATATAATATTATTAATTAAAAAACCATTAAATAGATTATATCAGAGAATTATGTTAATATGTTTATTTACTAATGTATTACATGTTATATATTTAAATTTTGAGATAAATAATAAGTAATTAAATTATGATTGTGTCAAATGGATTGAATTGAATTTAATTTAATTTAATAAGATAGTTGAATTGGAGATGAGATAATTTGTAGTGTTAAACCTTAACTTTTATGTTGAAAAGGGGTTGAATTAGTTGAGGAGGGCATGACAAATATAAAGAAGAAAAATCTGAAAGAAAAAAGATAAATAAATATTTTAGTAAACTAATAAAGATAAATAAAAGAAACTAAGATTTACAAAATAAACATCATCTTACCATATAAATAAGAGGGAAAAAACTGCTATATGAGAGAGCAAGAAGAAAAGAGAGAATTGTAAAAAAGAAGAGGAGAGGAAGGAAAAGAAATGGGGTAAATCAATGAGGAAGGGAGATAGTATTTATAGAGATAAGTGAGAATTTTCCAGCGACTGTTTACAGAAAGATAATTTTCTAGATTGATCCATTCATAAAAGACTTATTTCACTGGCAGATGCTTCATTACATTGTTTTAGTGAACACCGACAAGACATTCTCTTAGGGTACTTTTATCTAATCGCAATGTAACTAATTAAGTTCTCGTTTCCTAATTTTTTTTCTTTAAACTTTAAATTAAATAAGGTTTTAACTGTTGTATTGAGAACAAGAGTGTGTGAAATTAAAGCTACATAAATAAGATCAAACAATAACAATAATGCTTTTTTTTATTAATTTCACAAAGCAGTACAATTATTCAACAAAGTAACGATACGGACACATAATACACCCATCAAGAAATTGAGCAAAGCGAGAGTTAGAAAAACCCTTGCAAATAACTTGACAAGACAACTAAACACATCAACGCCCAACATCATTCTTGGCCATAACAAGCCTTATTTTCACATTGATTTTATAGACTTCCGTCATCTCTTGATATATAAGAAATTAGATTACGGCTTTTGGTTTCACAAAGATGCCGATTGCGTCAAGATAATAGCCGTGTCTTCCATGAAATCCATTGACGAAAGAACCTTCTATTGGTATGGAGAAAGAAGTTCCTTTAACAGTTCCAAAAGGTCCATATGTGGTCAGATTTGTTACGAACGAAAGTGAGGTGATAACAGGCGTCTTCACTTTGTGAGTTCCATATGTTCCAGATATGGATGTCAGATACTCAGAAGACCCATCGATTGTAATCTGCACATTATCATTTGCGCCATGTAATGTAAACTGTTATTACCTCAGGAAAAAGATAGCTTGGGCGAATGAAGAAGATAAATCATAGAAATGAATATGAATAATTTGATTTGTTATGGTAGAAAGGCCACATATAAATTCAAAACTCTTACTATTTTTTTGGTACCAGCATCTTTTGGATCACGACCACCAAACATTCCATACTCGTTTCCGTTAGCGTCCTTAAAAGCAATGGCATTGATACATTGTCCATCATAAATGGTTATCTCTTTTATCCAACTTGCCACTTTAAAATCAAAAGCTTCTCCACCTTCGCCACCCCATGGCCCCAACGAAATGCTTCCAGCTACCTGCACCAGAAATCCATATCAGCAAACCAGCACTACAAAATCTATGAAGAAGGGTAAAATCTAATGCATGACTTGCACATGCGAGCATGTTTTAGTTAAATGAATTGCTTACTGGTTGCACATAAATTCCAAGAGCATCAAGGTAGTAACCAGATCTGCCATGAAACCCAACGACGACACTGTCTGCTATTGGGATAGAGAACTCATCACCAGTAGTCTTTCCATAAGGGCCATAACTCGTGAGATTTGTGGCGAAGGTCAGGGAGGTGATTACAGTCAGTCCAGCATACTTTCCATAAGTTCCGCTTATAGTTGTGAAATACTCTGACGGCGAAGCAATTTTAATCTACAATACATGCAGGGTGATAAGTAATTAAAATGATGAGGCCAGCGATTAAGGAAGCGATGTATTAATTAATATATTATTGCGTAGCTCACCTTTTTCTCTTCACCCAAGTCATTATGGTTCTCGCCACCAAATGTGCCAGAAGTATCACCGTTGCCATCGGTGAAAGAAATGGACTTAACATTACTGTCTACATAGAGGGTTATCTCACTTATGCCACTGCTTGCCTTGAAGCTCCAATGGTCGCCACCTGAACCTCCCCACGGTCCCAACGAAATGATTCCTGCCAAGGAAGCCTGACCAATAAAATAAAAACCAGTTAATACAATAGTCACAGAAACATATGAATCCTTGAGAAATACCATGAATAGAAAGATAGATCGTGTCATACATACCATTTGCTCAGTTGAATTTGTCGAACGTTGATATGCAGCTCTAAAACTGGTTGTTGTTGGTGTGCATCGATATGTCCTCAATGAGGTCAATTTATAGAGAGATTATAGGTGGAATTGGGAGGCCAATTAATTATGACAAATGAATATAAGACCCATGGGTCTTATATTATATTAAGGAGCGGAGGGGTATCAAATAACATTCATCGCCATCTCTTATCATTATTGTCCATTTTGTCTTTGCATCCATGAAGATGGATTTTGTTTTGATATTACTATGGTCTTTTTTCCACACCGAAATAGTCTCCAGTGCGCTTAAGACAAAAATACATGGTTTCACGATGCATAACATATAAGGCCAAGTGAAATGGTGTGGCTCTTTATATATCTAACACAGAATAATTGATTAATTAATTAGTTTAAAATTATCATAAAAAATAATCATATGATGTTAATTAACATGCTCTCTCTGGTCCATAATAATATATGACATCGGTTAGAAGCAAAATTGTGGTCCAAAATATAAAATGTTGTCCGGATAAATAATGTGATTTTTTTTTCACTTTTGCCCCTAAGAGATGAGAGATAATAAAAGTATAGCATTAAATGTAATTTTATATTTTTTAGGGTAAAATAGAAAAATTTTATCATTTTAGGACAAATTTAATGACTACATTTTCATTTCTTTAATATGTGAGAGAAGTTGACCGACTTATTATATTATGAATCCAAGACAGTACTGCGTAACTTAGCAATATGTTATGGGGGATTTTATACTATGTAAACTGATGAAGGTTTTGTACTCTAGAGGAAAAGGGGGGAGAGGGATTCTGAGAGGATCCACGCTGATATTGTTATTAGAGTAATACTGGTGAGGGACTAGATTGGTTGATTTTCACGGCTACTTTGATTCATCTTGAACTCAATGAAATTATAAGAACCAAAATCATGATTTTATATGATGCATAAATATTTTCTAGCTATAGCGTTATTTATAAAGAGAGTATATGAGAGATCATGAGTGAAATTTATTTGTATAAATGTGTAAGATTTGATATTTTATACACGTTTTTCACGAATTAATTAAGGACAGTCATTAATCATTATATTTTTGATTGGATTAATTAATTCGACTACCAATTCCACTTGTAATCTGCCTATAAATTGACCACATAAATATTTAATTATTTAATTAATAAATAATTAGTTTTATTTAATATCATAAAAAATTATAATCCCGCCCGCTTTGGCTGTTCATTTGACTGGGAGTGATTTGAAGACCAGGTACATTGATACCAAATATAAAAGCAAATCATCTTTGTTTGAAACTTAAACTTTTCTTATCATTTTTCCTCCTATTAAATATATGCCACTTATTATCTTTCTGTAACAAATTTTAACTCATTACTCCTTTAGTCGTATTTGTAGGGCATTCTAAACATGTTTTAAAAGACTAAGAAAAATTTTAATTTGCATTAACTCTTCTTTAAAATATAATAACTTTTTAACTTTACCTCTATTTAATATATACACTTTTTCTAAAAAAAATATTTATCCATACTATAATAAATGAAGAACAAAACAGTATATTCATAGTAAAAATTTAATAAGGGGACTTATAAATAAGATCAAAAAAACTTCTCTCTCAACCTTATAAATAGGACTAGAGGAGTATCATATTGTGATACTTTTATATTAATTGATTAATCACAATTAATTTGTGGTAGATAAAACTAGCCACAACATTCGTTAATTAAACCAATTGAAAAACGTGCGTTAAGTATCAAATAGGTTATTTCTCCAAGATGCATGTACGCAGTCATCGTCATTTGAACTTGTCTTTGCGAACCCGTGAAGAGCTAACTTGTCATTGGGCGGTCGTCCTTTTTTCCTATGCCCACAATGATCACGTTCCCATTGCATTACTTGATTTATTAATTTTTGTTCGATGCAAAATATGTATCAAACAAGATTCATCGCCATCTCTACTCATTCATGCCATTTTTATCTTTGCATCCATGAAGATGGATTCTCTTTTGATATTATTAGAGCATGTTAGTTATGGTACTTTCTCCACACCACAAAAAGTCCGATATATATGGTCCAAGGTAGGGCCAAACGAATGGTGTGGCTAGTTATATCTACCACAAATTAATTGTGATTAATCAATTAATATAAAAGTATCATAATGTAAGAAATAATCACATTAGAACTAATTTTAATTAACATACTATGGGGATTTAACTACAGGGATTTAGCAATATTTTATGGGGGCTACAGCGTAGAAATTGATGAAAGTCTTGTATTGTAGTATTTTAGAAGAAAAGGATAGGGAAGGATTCTGGGGGGATGATATTGTTATTAAAGTTATAGTGGCGAGATATTAGATTATTTGATTTCATGGCTATTTTGATTCATCTTGAAGCCAATCAATTAAATTATAAGAACTAAAATCATGATTTTCTTGGGAAAAAAAAAATCCGGATAACACTATAAATGCCAAAATGCCTTATGAATTTAAATTCACATCTATCTCATGTGTTACACTATATATCAGTTTCAACCAAACTCAATTTTCGCAACTTAAACCAAACACACCCTTCATGTTTTAAATCAATTATTTAAGAGAATGCATGTTTAATTTGATGCAATTAATTCATTAGGGCAGCACCAAGATGATTATAATAAGTTAATCTTTCCTTTTGTCCCACTTGAATACCACGGATTTAATAATTACTACATCTGATCTTTAATATAAGAGCTAGTTTTACTTTTAATTTGATTCTAAATATAAGGCCCAAATCTATTTTGTCTTCTATATTTATTCATTATAACTAGCTAAGTACATATTTTATTAAGTTGAATTTAATCAATGGCATCAAATTAAACGTGCATTTTTTTGTAATTGATTATATATCTTCGGGTGTGTTCGAATTTCAGTTAAACATACATTTAACGAAGAAATCAGTCTGTCCGATAGGATTGCAATCAAATCAACCCTTCTAGTACCCTAGTCTCTAAATATACCACGAAACAAGACGTGCATACCTTTTGTTATGTAGTATGTTATTTACTGCTAAATTCCCGTAGTATATTAATAAAAATCAATTTCCATGTTATTATTTTTATGTATGATGATACTTTATATTAATTAATCGATAAATTTTCATAGATATGACAATATTACTGGCTAGCCACACTGTTCCCCTGGCCCCTATCTGGGATATTTTGATAAATCATTATATTGTTAATCCTTTTAGTTTGATTAAATTTTAGTTTTGCTCCATATAGCTTCAAATATATTGTTTTTTATTCCTATAGTTTCATAATTTTTTGGTCTGAGTACTTTAATGAATGGTCCATATATTCTTAATGAGTCTTAGTTTTGTTCCCTATGTTTAAATTTAAACCAAGTCCTTATGAAATTATAAGAACCAAATCTAACTATTCGAAACTATAAAAATCAAAATCAAAATTGAACCAAATTGTAAGAACTAACAATAATATTTACCTTAAGATATTATTATAATTGTGACAGTCATGACTTCATCCAAAAATAAGAGAGTAATAACATTATCACTCTAGTTCTTTTTTCCTCTCCATTTTTTATCCTTATTTTCTTTTCTCCTTTTCTCTCCTACTGGTGGGCTTTGTTCATACCATTGTGTACACATTCTCTGTGGGACAAAAGAGATCAAAAATCAATAAGACAGTCTTTTAACTTGGCTTTGTCTTTCGGCCTCCATTCCATCTGTAATCTGTCTACACACACACACACACACACACAGAGCACATAAAGAAGATACCCACCGACATAAACAATATTCAATATTTATGAACTTAAAGACAAAATAAGATATTGAAAATCTATATAATGCATGCAGAACCGGAAGGAAAAAAAAAAGTTTATTCATATTTTTCTTTTTTAATTTTTCTTTTAGAAACTTTGATAGATACAACTAGCTCCTCCTTTCCACAAGCCGGCTTCATCTTCTGAATTATGAAAATGTGTGTGTTTTTTTTTTCTCCATATTTTTTTAAAGTGCAGTTGAAACCATTGTAAGACAAATTAAAATGGCAATGACTACATACATTGGGGTTAAAACTATTTGATAATGCTATTTTTGGTCATTAATATAAGAGTTAGTTGACTAATTTAAGTAAAGTAAGAAAGTTTGTTAAGTTAGTTATTTGTAATAATTAGGTATTGTTTTTCCTAAAATACCTTTGCTAATTATGTGTTAGCTAAAACTACTATTTAATTGAAACTTTAGCATGTACAACTAATATAAAGACTATCTTAGAAAAAATGAATAAATATGGAAGACAAAATAGATTTGGGCCTTATATTTAGGATCAAATTAAAAGTAAAACTAGCTCTTATATTAAAGATCAGATGTAGTAATTATTAAATCCGTGGTATTCAAGTGGGACAAAAGGAAAGATTAACTTATTATAATCATCTTGGTGCTGCCCTAATGAATTAATTGCATCAAATTAAACATGCATTCTCTTAAATAATTGATTTAAAACATGAAGGGTGTGTTTGGTTTAAGTTGCGAAAATTGAGTTTGGTTGAAACTGATATATAGTGTAACACATGAGATAGATGTGAATTTAAATTCATAAGGCATTTTGGCATTTATAGTGTTATCCGGATTTTTTTTTCCCAAGAAAATCATGATTTTAGTTCTTATAATTTAATTGATTGGCTTCAAGATGAATCAAAATAGCCATGAAATCAAATAATCTAATATCTCGCCACTATAACTTTAATAACAATATCATCCCCCCAGAATCCTTCCCTATCCTTTTCTTCTAAAATACTACAATACAAGACTTTCATCAATTTCTACGCTGTAGCCCCCATAAAATATTGCTAAATCCCTGTAGTTAAATCCCCATAGTATGTTAATTAAAATTAGTTCTAATGTGATTATTTCTTACATTATGATACTTTTATATTAATTGATTAATCACAATTAATTTGTGGTAGATATAACTAGCCACACCATTCGTTTGGCCCTACCTTGGACCATATATATCGGACTTTTTGTGGTGTGGAGAAAGTACCATAACTAACATGCTCTAATAATATCAAAAGAGAATCCATCTTCATGGATGCAAAGATAAAAATGGCATGAATGAGTAGAGATGGCGATGAATCTTGTTTGATACATATTTTGCATCGAACAAAAATTAATAAATCAAGT